GGAGGAAATTTTATAAAGGCAAAAAAGAGAAATGGAAAAAACTATACATCTAAGAATGTGTAATTGAATAGTTATAATTGACTACATCAGCTGGTGATACATATTTAGTTAGGAGGACATGATAGGACGGCAGTGTTTATCTAGTGTTGATAAGTATTCGGTGAGGAATTTTTAGGAGACACATATGAATCAGGGTACAGGGAAAAGGAAATGGCAGCAGAGTCATATTCAAACTTGAGATGCTCATACTTTAATATGACATACTTTGATCAACATCTCCCATCTCTACTCTTGCCTAACTTTGATCAAATCTCCCTATCTCTACTCTCCCCTGATCATACACGTCTTCAGTAACTACCATTCTATTCTCTATCCTCATGAGGGCAACTGTTTTAGGTTCCACATGTAGTGATACTAGAGAGTATTTCCATTTCCTTTTTCTGAATTATTTTACTTAACATGATGTCCTCCAGGGATTGTCAAAGGATTTTCTTCTGTTTTATGGCTGAATACTCTCCCATTGTATACATGTATCACATCAGTTTTATCCCCTCATTCATTGATGAACACATAAATTGATATGTAAACATGTTAACCTATGGCTATGGTAAGTAACATGGGAGTATAATGAACATGGGAGTATAGAGAGTTCTTCAGCACACTCATTTCATTCACTTTGAATAGATATCCTGTAGTGAGATTGCTGGGTCCTAGAGTAGTTCTTGATTGTTGTGGTGATTACATGGTCACTTCCATTTGTCCATATTCTCAAAATTATACATTTAATGTTCTGTATATAAATTATACTTTTTTAACTAAAAAGGGAAAAAATATGACAAATAATGGAAATACAACTATGTACTTGTTCAGAAAACTAAGCTAGGTTCCCACATGCAGTTTAATTGCTTATTCCCTGAACAAAGGATATAAGAATCCATTGCCCTCACAGGAGGGCAGTTCCTTTGAGATTTCCATATCTAGAACTCCCTCCTTACCCACATCCACTGCCTTTAAAATACCAACTTGTTCTGCTGTTTGACATTTTAGAGGAAATATACCACGTTCATTGTTCCTTTGGTCATGTATTTATTCACCTGAATAGGAATGGTTGTTAGTACATATGTTGGCTTTTTCCCAAACAACAATTTCTGAATATGCAATCAATGATGGAGAAAAATGCCCAACATAAAAATTGGGTTAAAATAATAGGCCTTTACTGAGCTGTTTTGCTTTTCAAAGTATAGTTCTGCATTATTCTCTGACATATGCAGGAGTCTTAATAATATGTTTATTTCACAAATTTAAAAATATTTTCATTGGCATAGGATAAGTGACTTTTTTTATATCACTTTTTTTTTTTATCTGTGTCTAAGGGGCATTTTCTCTGATAGAATTATTTGTTACCCTGTGTCAGAGTTTTAGATTGCTCATTCAAATTTCAGGATCTCAGTACCTTTTCTCAAGAAACAAGGTAAGCTCATATATTTCAGATACATTTTCTTTTAGAAGTGTAATAATGTAAAAATATTAGGGAAGCTGCAACTGCTAAGCTTTATTTGAGCTCAAGATATGATGTCATGAACATTTTTCTGAAATGGTTGGAGTCCTATAAATATCCTATGTTGTTTCTAGTAGGATGTTTCATCATTCTCACAAAGCATGAAGTTAATTCCTAAAGAGGATGTGCAAAGATCTATTATAGACAGTGCTTTCATTGAGTAACTGGTAATTTGATATTTTTTACTACCTGTTCACTACTTTACGTACTTCTCCATCACTGTACGGAAATTGAACCAGTTTGTGCAGATATTTCTTTAGATTCCAGAAAGTTCCTCAAAAGATTATGTAGATTCTTACACTATTATATTATTCTTTATGAGATAATCTCTCCTCTAGCTTTACCTCTAGAACACTCAACAATCTGGTAGTTCAGAGTACAAGTGGTGAAGTCAGTCATACCTACAATTGAGCCTTGAATCTACCTTACAGTAGACAGGTGATTTTACAGAGTACTATTACTTGTAAAATCCTCACTTTCCTATTCTGTAAAGTATTGGCAATAGTACTGATTCATAAAGTTGTAAAGAGTAAGTTAACTATACTACCATCTGAATCTATAATTCTCTAGTAAGTGAATATAAATTATAGCTTATGTTAAAAAATTTCTAGATTTCATATCATGTATGCTGTTAATCAGCAAACAAATATACTGTACGGAACTAGTAATATCAAGTGAAGTTACAAAATTGCTAGAAAAGGGCTAGCAAAGATATCTACACAAAATTATGCTGCCAAAGTCTCCGAATTCAAAATAAAAAAGAAAAACCCAACCTCACAGAGCCTGTAGCCACAAGCACACATCTGAACACTAGAAGAAAATCTCCTAGTCATACATTTTCAAACTTCTATCCCCATGAGTCATCTAACAATGGGAGTAGATAGAGTAGGAATGAGTTTTCAAAAAGGAAAATTCCTATTCTGAACTCTGGGATCATATGAGAACCATGTATTCAATTCCCAATCCAGCACAGAGATGAGACATAGTGGTATGTACCATAACCTTAACAGCTCAGGAAGGTTGAAGTAGGTGGTCTGTGATCTCAAGGCTGACCTAAGCAACATAGCGAGACCATATTAAAAAAGAATAAGGCACAGTGGTGCATGTATGTTGTCTGGGCTAGGAGCGTACGTTAGAGAAAGAGAACAATGATACTCTGTATTTAAGAAAAATAAATAAATAGAGGAAAAATACTTCTTAAAAATAGAAAGGCAGGAAAATTAAACTAAAAGTCCTTGGATCCTCACTTAGAATGGGTGATCCATAAAGAGAAACAATAAAAAACACTGAGTGTTCTACTGTGTGAGAAAAAGCAGATTAAACAAAGAACTTCTAGGCTTCATACTCACCCACACCTTGGAGGTCACTTCACCCCAGAGCTTTTTCAAGCCAAAATATAGACCATCATCCCCTCCTAATTAGAATGTCATAGCAAGCACTCATAATGCCTGTGCTAAACTCTGCTTTTTGGTAACTGGTTTTCTGTATTATTTCTTTTAACTCTTAATGACAACTCCTTTGTTAAATGTTATTTATTAGTTTATTTATTTCTTCCATGACAGAGAGAGAGAGAGACAGAAAGAGGCAGAGAGAGATAAAAACTCCCAACAGGGTCTTTCCGTTATGATTCGTCCCCAGGTTCAGTCAGACAAAATTATAGGCACACACACATGTCCTGAATGTATAGGAAGACCTCAGGACCTGAACCTAGGACCTTCCCATGTGCCTTCACCATCATGAATGTGTGCCACCAAGGTTGGACTATAATACCTTTTATTATATTTTATTACTCTCTGTATCTCAAGATGGTTGAAATGAGACTCAAAGAAGTTATGTTAGAAGTGGTGTCTCTCAGTACTTAGTGGTGAGTCTTATTTGAATGCGTTTACACCTCTTCTTAGAGTCCAAGTTCACTGATTTTCCCTCTCTACAGAATTTTCTTTGCTGGGACCAGCAGATAGAGTAATGACTGCATTGCTAGACACCCACATAGTCAACTACAGTTCATGTCCTGGATCTGGTGGCCTCAAACTCATGCCAGGTGCATGTACGTGAGTGCCTAAATTCCCAAATGGAGACTGGAGAAGGGATTGCAGTGTGGCAATTCCCCTTAGGGTTCATTTGTCACTTTCTGTCTTTCGTCTCTCTGGCAAGATCACATGCCCTATAGCAACAATCTCTCTCTAAAAATATTTCTTTCCTGGTTGTATATGCAGCTACTACTGCTGAGTTGTTATCTCACCGCATATAAACGACTCAGTTATTCCACTGTCAGCCCCAAGCATTAAGCTTAGTCTAATGGATAAGTTAATAAATGAAAACTAAGTTAAATTTAATTCAATTCAAGTTCAGATAATAATATGAAACTTGTGAATCATTGCTTCTGGGTTCAAAACTTGACTCTGTCACTTGATATTTATATAAATTTGCAAAAAATTCTCAATATTTTTATAGTTAATTGAGGTAATTATACTGATTAAGCATACATGGAAGTGCTTAGAATGAGCACAATAAAAGTTATTAGTGGGGACCAGCAGGTGGCATGGTGGTTAAGGTAATGGACGCTCCCACATGGCCAACCATGGTTCAAGTCCCAGAACTAGTGATTTTCTTTCTCACTTTTCCTCTCTCTCTTTCTGTGTGTGTGTCTTTCTCTGGTCAAATTAGAAAAAGAATGAATAGATAAAATTAAATAAAATAATTTTTAAAAAAGTTAGCTGTTAATTCAGGTGATCTGATTTGGGAACTGAATCTATTGTAATTATGTGACAGTAAACAAATCATAACTTATTTCTTCACTTCTGCATCTCAGGTTGTCCATTTATGCAAGAAAGAAGATGGGTATGGAATCTGTGTAAATTCTTTAACCTCCGAAATCTGTAACCCTACAAATAATAAACCCACTGTCATAAGGTGATGTCTCATCATAAATCCATATGTTGGAATTTGATTGTATTTAAAAGGTATTAACTGGAAACTTAATCCATTCACTGTGAACCATGATTACATCTTTTGATGTAATAAACTGATTAAGGCAGGAACTCTATTATTGGCTCTGGTGTGTATATAAGAAGAAGGAGACCAGAGCAGGTGGAAACTTGTGGACATCTACTCTTCTCAAGATCCTGCCTTCTACTATCCTGTGATTCATTTAGACCTTCCATTTGTCCAAAATAATGAGTCAAATAAACTACTCTCTTCAATTCACCCAGCCTTAGATATTTCTGTAAACCACAGAATAACGGGTTAAGATGTCCACTAAATATGTCTTTCATTCTGATTAATGGTCTAGATTAGAGAATAAAAAAAATAATGACTATGGAAAAATGAGGAAACTATGAAATATGTGCATGAGTGTGCATGCAAAATCTATTTATGTTTATTTTACATTTACCAAGTGTTCCTTTCTTTTCTCATCTTTTCAGATAATCCTGTAGGTCACATGGAGAATACTACAAAGGTGACTCATTTTATTCTGGTGGGTCTAACCAACACTGCAGATCTTCAGATTCCACTCTTTGTCTTGTTCACCCTCATTTACCTCATCACTCTGACTGGAAACCTGGGGATGATGGTGTTAATCATGTTGGACTCTCGTCTCCACACTCCCATGTATTTTTTCCTCAGTAACCTGTCTTTTGTGGACTTGTGTTACTCTACAACCATCACTCCCAAGGTCATTGCTGGCTTCCTTATACAAGACAAGGTCATCTCCTACAATGCCTGTGCTGCTCAGATATTCTTTTTCATAGCCTTGGCCACTATGGAGATTTTCCTCTTAGCCTCTATGGCTTATGACCGCTATGCAGCAGTGTGTAAGCCTCTCCATTACACCACCACCATGACGACAAGTATGTGTGCTCGCCTGGTCATAGGCCCCTACATCTACGGTTTCCTGATGTATTTCCAGCCGAGTTCCAACCATTCCATGGACACAGATAAAATTGCATCTGTGTTCTATACTATGGTCATCCCCATGCTGAATCCTGTGGTGTACAGCCTGAGAAACAAAGAAGTCAAGAATGCATTCAAGAAGGTTGTTGAGAAGACAAGATTGTCTGGAGGATTGAGCTTTTAACATTGTAGGGTTCATTATAACCTAGCTTCATTTCCTTCAGAACTTCTCCCTGAAATTAATCACATTTCTACCTTCACGATGCATTTGGAAGTAATGTATTTGTATATGACCATAAACGTCTCCACTGTTTAAATATGTATTGAGTGGGACCAGCAGGTGGTATAGTAGCTAAGGTGCTGAACTTCCATTTGGTAATTGCAGTACTAGTCTCAGACCTGGTGGCTTGAAATGTGCCAGGTAAGTGTGCACACAAGAATAATGGAGAAGGAATTATTATGGCTTGCCCATCCCTTTTTGAATATTTCGGCGGTTGGGGGAGTTCACACTTTCTGTCTCTCTGTTTCTCCAGTGAGTGCACTCACTCTATAGCAAAAATCTCACTCAAAACATGTACTGATTATATTGACAATGCTCTATACTTGTCTCTCTACAAGTGCTTTATAATGTTGTAGCACTCATTCACCTATGAATGATGTATGTTGTGCCATCACGTGTCACTCCTAGCTTTTTATCTCACTACACTCACACCAGTCTCACATAGTTTTTACTATTCTAAGCACGTTCCTGTCTCAGGGAATTTGTACTTGCTGTTCCCTCCTTGTGTTGATCCAAACAGAGATAGTTTTATATCTCCCGTTTGTATTTGAATATCTTTTAATGTAGTTTTTCTTATCTAGTTGCTTTGGATAGACTTCCTGGTATAATTTCGAACAGAGGTGCTATAAGCAGGAATACTTTGTACCTCATATGTGAAGTTTCTGGCCATTTAACTTTTAAAAATTGTGTTTGGCAGACCAGCTGTTAGCGTAATGGCTATGTCGCTGAACTCCCATGTAGTCGACCATGGTTCACATCTCGGACCCCGTGACTGAAAACATGCCAGGCACCTGTGCATGTTTGCCCATGATCCCGCGAAGAGAATAGAAGAGAAGGGACTGTGGCATGGCCATCCCTCCGGGGGTGATTTCTCGCTTTTTGTCTCTCTGTCTCTCTCTGTCTGTCTGGTGAGTGCACACACCTGATAGCAAAAACATCTCCATGAAAAACAAAAATAATGTTTGGGAGCCAGTTAAGGATGCTGGACTCTCACATGGCTGACCGCGTTTGAGTCCTTGTCCTGGTAGCTTGCTTTCTCACTTTCTCTCTCCTCTGTCCCTCTCTAGTCAAATTAAAATAAAATAAATGAATGAATAAGGAAAGTTAATTTTTTAAAAAATTATGTTTAATGTGTGTGTACTTATGTGTGTGTTTTAGAAGAGGTCTTGATGTCTCCTGCCCCAGCCTCCCTATGGCTAGCAATATAGGAATAAACCACCAAGAATCAATCCCAGGTCTCCCACATGACCTCAGCCTCCCAAGCAGCAGCATCCCAGAGGCTACCACAGTGGGAACCAGTCTTTCACTTTTGAGTATATTAATTATGTGCTATTTATAAATGTTTTTCACAGTCTGGATATTCTTAGCTTTTGGAATGATATTTTTATCATGAAAAAACACAACACTTTGGGAACATTTATGCTAGATTAGTAAAATGATCATGTTTCTTTGCCCTTTAGTATATTAATGTTACTTCTTACACTGAAGGATTTTTGTATATTGAAGCATTTCAACATTCCTGGGATGAATTCTACTCACCATGGTTGATAGTTATGTTAATATACTGATGGAGTTGATCAGTTTGCACTGTTTTTGAATTGTTGCATATTCAAGAGAGATTTTGATCTGTAATTTATTTTCTTTGATATTTCTGTCTGTCATTTGAAAGAGGTATTGCACTTTTCACAGAACGAACTGGGAAGCGCTTCATAGGTATTTACTCAAATGAAATTAAATTTTATGGCAATACAAAAAAACTTAGGGAAATTTATAGTTAAAGCAGTTTTATTTGTAACCACCAAACAGTATACATCAACCAAGGAATGGAAATACAATGTATGAATTCAAAGTAAACACTACTTGTCTAGAAAAAAAAAATTCCACCACTGATACAGGAAACAATATGGAGGAACCTTCATACATTAGAATAAGTGAAAGGTACCAGAAGAAAGACTCTAGGATGCTACTTAAGGACATTCTTTCAAAGGCAGAACTATATGGATTTAAAAAAAAAAATAGTGTTTTCTAGGGAATAGGGTTTTAAGAAATTCATTATGGGTGACCATGTTAGTGGTTACATCAATATGTATTTGAACAAATTTTTGAGCTATACACTGAAATGTGTATATTACTGCTAGTAAATAATACATTAGTTAAGCTTTTTTTTTTTTTTTGAAGAGTTTTTTTGCTATAGGGGCGCGTGCATTCGCCAGACAGACAGAGAGAAACAGAGAGAAAGAGAGCAAGAAATCACTCCCCAGGGGGGGGATGGCCACGCCTCAATCCCTTCTCCTCCATTCTCTTCTTGGGATCTTGGGCACGTGTGCACATGCACCCGGCATGAGTTTTAAGCCGCAGGGACCAGGACGCGAACCACGGTCAACTACATGGGAGTCTAGCGACATAGACATTATGCTAACTGCTGGTCCCCAAACGTTTAAAAGGAATAACAGGTAATGCCATTTTGGCAGGCCCGACCCTCCTGAATCTCCACGCATCCCCACCGTTCCTCCTTCTTGGACTCCAGGTTGGTTGTCTGGGACTTTAAGGTCAACTCCCACCCCACCCCACCCGCAATCCAGATCGAGATGGCCAACAGTTCCGGACACCAGGCTGACTGAGGCTGCAGGCCCGAACAACCTGGTCCTGTCACTCATCCTCTGGCCTTTTCCCATTAGGCTTTGGACTCTCTGAATTTGGGTGATTTGAATAGCACGCGGCATGCAATGTGCGCCACACGATTTCTTTTTCTTGTTTATTTTTTTTTCATTTTTTTCTTTGCTATTGAGGTGTTGCTTATTAGGTCAGTTGGAGGCTCACCACTCCTTAGAAACAGGGAGAACTTTGGGCTATCCAGGACTAGTGGCAACCTTAATGGTAATCGTGAGCAACAGGTAGGCCAACCATAAGAGAAATCATCAATTTTCTAATCCTATACAACTTTGAACACTCAAAGATACTTTAAGTAAGTTAGGAAAAAACATATAGATTACCTGATGACTAGGAACAATCGCAGAGGCTCAAGAAATATGAGCATCCAACAAAAGGCCTCTCCCTCAAGGGAAATCATCAAGCCTGCATCACCCACAGTCTACACAATGGACATCATGGACATGTCTGATGAGGAATTCAGAATATTTGTAGTGACCAAACTAACTGAGATGGAAGAAAAAAGCGACAAGGAGCTCCAGGAGATGAGGAAGTCCTTTCGTGACTTGAAAGAAGAAATGGATACCTTAAACAAGAACCAGATGGAACTTCTAGGATTGAAGAATGTGATACAGGAAATCAAAACCTCCCTTGAAAGTATTAAAAGTAGGTTAGACCAGGCAGAAGATCGAATCTCTAACATAGAAGACAAAACATCTGACCTAGATAAAAGTATCAAGAAGATTGAGAAAACAACCATGAAAAATGAGAATAATATACGAGGATATCCAGTACGATACCATCAAGCACCCCAACATGTGGATAATTGGTATTCCAGAAGAGGAAGAGATTAAGAAGGGCCTAGATAATTTATTCCATGAATAACTTTCCAAATCTAGAAAGGCATTCAAA